AACAAAAATTCAAGAAGGTTCTTATCTTAGTCCTTTTGTGCTGCTATGACAATACATGAGACTGGGTCATTTTTCAAGAAGAGAAATTTATGTTTTCACAGCTCTGGAGGCCAAGAATTCAAGATCAAGGCACCAGCAGATTCGGCATCTGGAAAGGGCCTAGCCTTGCCACTGTGTTTGCTGGAGGGGAAGAACCTTATGTCTTTGTGTGGCAGAAATCAGAAGGGAAAAAAGGGCCTAAGCTAGTTCCCTCCAGCCCTTTTACAAGGTACTAATCCATCCGCCTTCCTCATGAGTTAATCACTTCCCAAAAGGCCCCACCTCCCAACACCACCACAACGGGGATTAAGTTTCAACACATCAATTTTAGACAAGACACATTCAAACTACAGAAGTCCTGGAACATATGTTCATACCATATAGCAAGTACATTTCATTGACCACAACAGTCATGTCAAAAAAGACTCAGAATCCAATCTGAATACCTGTCCAAACTTCACTGGCTGAAAAACGGGAAAATTTCAATGATGGATTGAGATGCAGCAGATATGTTTGAATCCATGAGTTCATAAAAAAACAAAGACCTCTTGGTCACCTGTAGAGGATTCTGGGAAATCAACTCACTATTTTGAAAATTGGTAAATAGAAGGAAAGAATCAAGCATTTATCCTACCTTTCCTGTATTAGGTGTACCACAGGGGAACCAAATAGTTGATGAAGGGAAGTTTCTTTATTATAGAAGTATTCCTGCTAATAAATGAATAAGGAATGAGAATTAGAATGTCTGCACACTCCAATTAAATAGTTGGGTTGAAGCTAAAATTTCTAACGTCACACAAAGAGACACAACAGGGCACCATACATCTGCTAATGAGAGTCCTCTCACTATTGCCAGTGACGGCTTCTTGCTCAAATATCCAATTATAAGTGATCAAACTACCTGTTAGGAAGTAAGAGAATGCAGATGATGCAGGTGACAGTGAACACTAGGAAAAAAAACACGCCATGTGGATGCAATCAGCAAAATCCAGAATGTTGGAAATTCTACAGGACAAACGGACCCAGTTTCTTCACTGTGTAAATGGCAAGGAGGGGAAACAGAGGGGCTGTTGGTGCTCACCCAAACCCTTTGTGCCTTTCACTGTGCTCAGCCTGACTCCCAACTGTCCTAGCTGCATCTCTGTGCTTAAGAGGTTTTTTTTTTGTTTTTCCCTGAACCACAGAAGGCCCGAAGTCCCAAGCAATTAATGCTCCCAGAATGAGCCCTTCATCAATGATTAAATAAAGTGGGTCATTAAATACCCAAGCTCCTTCAACTCCCAGGGGAATAATTCTGAGGTGAGTGTGTGTTTATACCTTTTTCAAGAACTTCACTGAAGGATTAAGCTTCAGTTACCTGCTGGTAAATGGCTTAATAGCTCACCCTCTATGGGTTGCTTTTTCTTCCTTGTATCACTTGCTCTCTTCCTTATGGTGTACCTCACCCTGCACATCCCAAATAAAATGCATATACTCGAATCCTTGCCTGAGCCTCTGTTTGTAGAGGAACTCAAACTAAGGCAGAGGGGGAACTATAGATTCAAAGAGATTTAAGAGACATGCCAATCAATTGCAAAGTGGGGAGCTGAGTCAAACTATTAAAAAATTTATGGGACAATCAGGGAAATTAGGGGGCTGTCAGTGAACACTGACAATTTGGTAACATTTAGGAATTATTGTTTTTTTTCTTAGGTGGCATAATGCTGATATTCTTATGTTTAAAATCAAGAGTAACTGCTAAATATTTACAGATAAAATGTTAAGATAGATGAGATTTGTTTTCAAATGTATATATGTGGAGTAGTGCCTGGCAATGAGTAAATCATTAAAACTGAGCTATGGGTATGTGACGGTTCAGTATACTTTTCCTTCTACTTCTGTATATGTTGGAAATTTTCCCCAATTAAATACAAAAATAAGGTGAAAGCTCTGTGGGAGTTGGTAATAGTTGTGTTCTTAGTGCTTAACAGTGTTTAGTACACAGTTAGTCAAAAAGCATTCTCAAAACATAATTTGTGGCCGGGCGTGGTGGCTCACGCCTGGAATCCTAGCACTCTGGGAGGCCAAGGCAGGCGGATTGCTCAAGGTCAGGAGTTCAAAACCAGCTTGAGCAAGAGCAAGACCTCATCTCTACTAAAAATAGAAAGAAATTAATTGACCAACTAAAAATATACATACAAAAAATTAGCCGGGCATGGTAGCACATGCCTGTAGTCCCAGCTACTCGGGAGGCTGAGGCAGCAGGATCGCTTGAGCCCAGGAGTTTGAGGTTGCTGTGAGCTAGGCTGATGCCACAGCACTCACTCTAGCCTGGGCAACAAAGTGAGACTCTGTCTCAAAAAAAAACAACCATATTATTTGTTGAACAAATGTGTTTTGTTTTATGTTGGGGATACCAAGGCAAATATTGTTGAGTTAATATTTTTAGCTGATATACTAGAAATCTTACCAAGAATTGTATATAGATCAGAGGGGGAAAGATCATTTTACCAATTATCACAATGTCAGCTTTAAAAAATTTCATACTAGCTTAACCACTAATTAAGATATTTTTTGAACTGGTGATTCATCACTATCTGTAGCTCGAATTTATTTTTGTTACATATATTTTTATTATAATTCTTATGTGTTTTGCCAAAATGCTGGAATTTCTGGGATATTTTGATGATTCAGTGAAACAGAATATGGCACTGAATACTTGATTAGAAAATCTAAGGTTGCAAGTACTGAATTTACCTGAGGGTTATGTATTTCGGAAATTTACGAGGTGACTCCTCATGTTGCTACCAAAATGACACAGCTGATAAAACTAAAACTTTATCGGGAAAATCTTTTAAATAAAATAATAATTTATTGAATGGGAGAGGTAGGGTATGTTTGAAGTCTTAGGAGCCTGTAAACAGAAATTTGCAAGAGAATCCTACGGAACATAGCCAAGCGTGGTGGTGCACACCTCTAGTCCCAGCTACTTAGGAGATTGGGGTAGGAGGATCCCTTGAGCCCAGGAGTTCCAGGCTGTAGTGTGCTAGGATCATGCCTGTAAATAGCTTAGCCTGCAGCATATAGAGACCCCATCTCTAAAAATATATATAAATATAGATAGATATAGGTGTATCTCTATATTAGTCCCTAATTTATCACTTTCCAGGAGTTCAAACTATTGCTGAGATTTGCTTTCTTGCAGGATTTCCTAATGACATGAAGTTCTTGTTTTCAAGCTGTCAGGTAGAAAAACAGTAATTTAATTCGACAATAAGATACGACTTTGACTCTAAGAAGATTCATTAGGAGAGTCTGAGAAGTGCACTGGAATATTTTTGGAATGTCCTTCGGAAAGGCAAAGTTTAAACTGAAAAGAGTAAAAAGTTAAACATTACATATTTATAAAAAGTCAAACTATTTTTTTCTCACTTGATTAAAAAGATGGTACCAAGGTCACTAAACAGCTTTATATAGTAAATGATTATTTTTTTATTGGATTCATTCCTAGTTTTATTTTATGTACTTGTATTTGTTTTTCGCTCTGTATTTTTGCTTGCATGTAACATATTTTATAAGACTTTCTTATACAATTATATCTTATAAGACCTTCTAAGAGGCTTTTTATGTTTTATAGAAAATGTTGTGGGAATAACTAATTATAACTAGTTAAATTTAAAAACTGAAACAAACTAAAGATTGACACAATAATATGCATGTGTATTGCTATCCTTACATCAATAATTATAGATTTTATTTTCTAAGGTATTTCTGAGAATGAAATTTCCAGCCACATCATCAGCTAAATTCACTCAAATTTACTCCCTGGATTTGGCTGTTTAGCCTGTAGGCTAGAGCTTAATACGTTTGCTATTACTTGGAATCAAAAGTTATTTAATAGAATAAAATTAATTTCAATAAGTGATGGATTTAAAGTTTCTGTTAACAAAGAGCAGAAGAGATTTATCATAGGCTCTAAAACAGTAATTTAATTTCCCTAACATGGTAGGGGAAATTTGGGTTCCCCCAGAGGACTTTGAGTTAGCCAACCATTTATTAGAAGACTGACTTTAAACTTCCCTTGAACTCAGTATACAGGCCACAGGGGTGCAAGCGATTCTTTGGTACAGCATCTTTGAGCTAGCAGCTAGTGTCATTGTTTATACGGTCGCTTATACACAGCAGCACCTACTTTTAACTTCTTAATTTGATTTCGTGAATCTGTGTTTAACCTTATGACGCTGCCTCCAAAGCAGAAGTCCACTGTAGGTCCAGGTGAGCCTGCAGCAAAGAGAAAGGTGATTGCAACAGAAGTGAAAGTAAAAAGAATGAAGTGTTCGGGGCATGATTCACTGGGAAAGCGTTAGGCTTCAGTCGCTGGACTGTCAGTGAGAATAACGGAACATCTGAAAGGCAGTGCTCCAATGAAAGCATCAGTTATTATAAAGCAGCATAATGGATCAATCATTGAAGTGGAAAGGTTATTATTGATTTGGTTAGAAGATCAAAATAAGCGTGACATGCCTGTTAGCCTAGTATTGATGCAACAGTGGCTGTGTATGAACCTTTAATATTCTTTTTTGAAATTTCTTCTATCACTTAGCAAAACTTCTTGTGTGAGTTTGTTTTTATGTTCCGTTTGAATGAAAAGAAAGAGCCCAATAGTTCCTGTAACTTATTATTACAGTACAGAAGTATTATTATTATTACAGTATCACACCGTATTATTACCACATATGAGCCATTATAGTATTGTTATTATTATTATTATTATTACCATATATATGCTGCTCATTAGGGATCTGAGTTACATACAAATCTGACTTAAAGCTGTTCCAGGAGCATCTCTCTTCTGTAAACTGGGGACTGCCTGTATTAAAAACCAACTAAGACAGTAGTTCTAATTTTGTCAACTTATAATTCCCATTAATTCACCCTATTTCTTTCACCCATGTTTTTTTACAATACGATTTTTTTTTTTTTTTTTGAGACAGAGTCTCGCTCTGTTGCCTGGGCTAGAGTGCCGTGGCGTCAGCCTAGCTCACAGCAACCTCAAACTCCTGGGCTCAAGCAATCCTCCTGCCTCAGCCTCCCGAGTAGCTGGGACTACAGGCATGCGCTACCATGCCCGGTTAATTTTTTCTAAATATATTAGTTTGCCAATTAATTTCTTTCTATTTATAGTAGAGATGGGGATCTCACTCTTGCTGAGAGCTGGTTTCGAACTCCTGACCTCGAGCAATCCGCCTGTCTCAGCCTCCCAGAGTGCTAGGAATACAGGCGTGAGCCACCGTGCCCGGCCCATGATAGATTTTTGAAAATACATTCAGTCCATGTAGGACAACAGTGGGTTGTGAGGGTAAGAGAAGATCTCCTCGAGCAAAAGTCCTCCCTCCTCTGCCCCACTGCCTTGTAAACTTTTCCTCAAATTCCATGCACTTTTTGGATCCGTTTACATTAACTCTCAGGAGCAAACACTTTGCTACCTCTGGAGGGAAGGCCAGGATCCCCCTGCTGTGTAGTGCTGTCCACATGCTTTCCCCTGAGCTGGGAGCTCTGCATTTGCTATCCCCTTTGGTCCTCTCCACAACCCTCCAAGTAAGGAAATACCCATTTTACACATGAAGAAATTGAGGCCCAGAGAAGGCACTGGGCCACTTAGCTTCCTGCTGTCTACAGTACTGCTGCCTGTAGAAAACTACTAACACTGGCCGGGCATGATGGCTCACGTCTGTAATCCTAGCACTCTGGGAGGCTGAGGCGGGAGGATCACTCAAGGTCAGGAGTTCGAAACCAGCCTGAGCAAGAGCAAAGACCCCATCTCTACTAAAAATAGAAAGAAATTAATTGGCCAACTAAAAATATATAGAAAAAATTAGCCAGGCATGGTGGCGCATGCCTGTAGTTCCAGCTACTCAGGAGGCTGAGACAGAAGGATTAGTTGAGCCCAGGAGTTTGAGGTTGCCGTGAGCTAGGCTGACGCCATGGCACTCTAGCCCGGGCAACAGAGTGAGACTCTGTCTCAAAAAAAAAAAAGAAAGAAAAAGAAAATAAACTAGTCACACCCATGGTCATATGGCAGAAAACAGAGCCTTGAGGAAACGGACCACCAACCACCGGCCTGAGGGAATAAAGCAGTTACGGGGACTTGGGGGTGGAAGTCAAGACAGTAACCAACCTAAAGTGGGGGCAGGGCACTGAAACAGGCTGGGCAAATAAACATATTCAAACTTCACGTTCCCCTCTTAAGGCCAGATCATGTCGGAGCTTGTTTCACAGCAGAAATAAGGCAGCCAGACCAGTCCGTAGGACAAAGAAATTTTTGTTGAAAAGACCAGTACAAATCGACTCTGATGGAACAGAGTCTTTGTCTAGATCTAGGATCTTTTCTTTTGTGTGCTCTGTAGAATGAGGTGCGCTTGTTTGGGTGGGGTTATGGCTGCCACACTTTTCCATGTTTGGTCTTATCTTTCCTCTCCATGTTATTTAATGTCTCTTTTTCATTTGTTCTGTTCAAAGACACCGATCAAAGAAGCCAAGCACAATGCCTCCCTTTTCTCTGGAGTTGAATATTCCAGATATGGGTAGGTGGCTCTGTTAGGCAGGAGAGCACAAGATCTGGTTATGGGAAAATGAGGCGGGACATAAAGTGGTCCCAGACACCAAGGCAACCTCTCTCTCACTCTTCCACTCCCCACGAGGCATCTGTGCTCTGCAGGTTGGAAAAAAGAAGGCAGGAGATGGGTCTGCGAAGGCTTTTTGCTGGTCTCCTTTTTCTGAGTGCCAATTCAGCATGATCTAGACCAAGATCATTTCTTTGCAAGGATAGAAAACAAACTGGTTAAGCTCAGGTAAAGGGGGCTTTACTGGAAGGACATTAGGAGGTGTCCTGGAATTCGTTTGCAAAGAGTGTGTCTGGGTCTCCTGGAAGCTCTTCCTCTCTCACACCATCTGCCTGGCTGAGGTCAGAACCGATTTCTATTACCTGGGGCTATTGCAGGAATGCTCCCTTACTGATTATTGTGCTCTGTTGGCTACACAACTGCTCAAGTTTATGGGGGGAAAAATATTCCTTTTAGCCAGGGTAATGCAAGTTGTTTCAAGGAACCCTATAAAATGCTTGCAATATAAGTCATGCTCACTCACGTTCATTAACAAAAAATGAAATAAACCTATGCTGCATAGTTTTTTTTTTCATGCAAGTACAAAAGTGGAGATTGTCATATCAAGACTAGATAATCAAGTAGATAATGATGGGGTGCCAAGATTCCAAAGAGATTGAGAGTCCTCATTGTTGGGGGTGGTCAAAGAATTCATTCCCCCACAAGGCATGTGGCTTTAAGCCAGCACGAGCTCACCTCTTAAATTGTTCTCCTATTCCCTCCTTTATTTCCTGCCTCCTTCTTATAACATGTCAGTTTAACTGAGAGAATGTGGTGTGTGAGGTCTTTCTATCTAGCCTTTTAACATCCAGATAGTTATTTCTTTTCTTTTTTCTTTTTTTAGACAGTCTCACTCTGTCACCTGGGTTAGAGTGCAGTGGCATCATCATAGCTCACTGCAGCCTCAAACCCCTGGGCTGAAGTGATCCTCCTGCCTCAGCCTCCCAAGGAGCTGAGACTACAGGCACATGCGCCACCATGCCCGGCTAATTTTTCTATTTTTTGTAGAGACAGGGTTTCACTATGTTGCTCAGGCTGGTCTTAAATTCCTGACCTCAAGCAATCCTCCCGCCTCAGCCTCCCAGAGTGCTAGGATTACAGGCATCAGCCACCGTGCCCAGCCCAGATAGCTATTTCTGCCTTGTGGGGGAATTTCTGAGATATATGGCAATTGGTAAGGGTTGGGTATGCTGCTCTGGTTCTTATCTTTGGAGTTTTTAAAGTCTTCATCCTTATACCAAATATTTGATTAAATATTTGACCAGAGATCAGAATCTAGAACCTCAGACCCAGAAGGCAAACCAGTGGGTTTGCTACACAAAGGGCATGGAATCTAAACATATCTAGAGTGAGAGATTAAGATCAAGGAGCTGAAAGGCCAATCTGGATTTATTTCAAAAGAATAAAAACCTATAAAGTACGTGTAGAAGGATAAAAATGGAAAGAACTTGTAGTGGTCTTGGTTCTCTGGTAAATGCAGACTGGACACCCCTGCTGCTGTCACTCTGCCCTACTGTACTGTCCATGCTACTGTTGCAACTTCCAGAAGGTAGGACTCGACCAATCCTGCACACTTCCAGAGTGTTTGGTCTGAGTGACCCTGGGAGCTGCCAGGATGGCCAGTGCTGTTGGCCTCCAAAGGCCAAGAGAGGACTTTGGTCAGATCAGGTAAAGAACATTTAGGGACACAGAGATATGGACACAGTTTTTTTCTTTCCTAGAAAAAAGATGACGTAATAAGTTACAATCAGCAGGCTTAGAGGGAGTCCGTGCCACATGGTGGGTGGGTGGGAGAAGTTTGATTAGTCCTATTATTCCAGGGCCCCACATTCCAGAGCTTTTTCCTTTTAAGGCAAGAGTGGGACCAACATTCCTGGTTCATTTATGAATGACCCAAGAGAATGGGACAGGAAAAAGGAAGGTATCCCTATGGATTCCCCCGGAGGAGTCCCTACAGTCCCGTTTTTGTTTGGACTAATTGAGGTGTGAAGTTTCTTTTCTTTTTATTTAACTTTTAACATAAAATTGATTGATGAATGAATTGATTGATTGCTGGCCATTGGGGATTTAAACATGAAAATCACATGATCTTAACTCTTACAGAGCTTGGAGTTTAACGGGGAAGATGGACATGATATTGTATGATAAGGACAATAATAAAGTACAAAATAAAAGGAATCTTCTGGGCTTTGCGCTGGACAAAATGTCTCTGGGAGGCCTTTGACCCAGAGGCAAGTATGGGCCCAGTTCCAGCTCCAGATGTTCTCAAAGAGACCTGAGTCTAAAGATCACAGATCATCTCATATCAGGAGTCAGGCCCGCTGTCTGAAATTTCCTAGTGGCTATAGAGCTATTGGTCTGGTGCCTACAGACAGAACCCTGAGTTATCATTCCTCTGTCCTTGCTACTTCTGGATGAGACATCCTACAGATAGTGTCAGGAACAGTACAGTGTGTGTTTGTACCAAATGGTCTTTAAGTCGGCCTTGTTCCCAGTCTGGCCGTTGTGGGAGAACCAGCGCCTTTACTTCCTGGTTTCTAGCCGATGCCTTCCTCCATCCCTGCCCCCCACAACCAGCTGCTTGAAGAGCTCAGAAGGTGAGAAATCAGGAATGGAGAAACGGAAGCAGCCAACGCTCCATGCATCATAGTCGTGGACAGCTCAGCAGCACGTGGAAATAGATGGTCCTTGTCATGGAGACTGCAGCTATTCTCGATAAATATTCTGTCTCTTCCACTCTTAGCAGTTCTTTTTTTTTTTTTTTTTTTTTTTTTTTTGAGACAGAGTCTCACTTTGTTGCCCAGGCTAGAGTGAGTGCCGTGGCGTCAGCCTAGCTCACAGCAACCTCAAACTCCTGGGCTCAAGCAATCCTCCTGCCTCAGCCTCCCGAGTAGCTGGGACTACAGGCATGCGCCACCATGCCCGGCTAATTTTTTCTATATATATTATTTGGCCAATTAATTTCTTTCTATTTCTTTCAGCAAGAATTGGGGAAAGATGATTCTTGCTGCGTGCAAAATTATAAAAAGACATTCCGTTGAGAAGATGGAAAAATGCTTTTGTTTTGGACAAACCTTGTGAAAGTTCAAGGATCACCCATTTATTGGCCAAACTGAGTTTCAGTGGCTTAAAAATAAAGAAAAGAAATACTCCAGATAATAGTATTGTCCTTCTCATTCTGCCTAAAAGCGTATTTCTGAAGCCTCTCTTCGCTACTTAAAAATGGGAATTGAGAAATATTCCAAGGAGATCCAAGATAAGACTAGCATTTCAGCAACCTGAAGATGAATCCTGTTCTTAGAAGCAGATACTGGATTCGAGAAGCTCTCTGAATACCACGTGGCACTGAGGAAGCTACAATTGCTGGCTCAGACCTTGATCAGATAATGGCTAACCAGTATTAAGGTGCTTATTATAGTCAGGCACACTTCTAAGTGCTGCGTGTATACTATTAATAATCTATGTATTCTCACAGGACATAAAGCATTTGCAGACCCTTCAGGTTCTGGTGTGTTCTAAGACGAGTTAACTGAGAAACTTTCATGGGAAGATGGATTCAGCAAAAAAGGGAACAGCCAACGTATTATGTAGATGTCCCTGTGGCTTAGTGGTAGAAATTGTACATTTGTGCCCTTAGGGGGAAAATGTTGAGGTCAGAGCAGACTGTGATAGATCGGGTCTGGCGCTTTTGCTGGAGAGTCTGGAATCAAAGATGATCTGACGGAAAGCCAGTTCATCTGAGACAGTTCAACTGAGGCATGCATTCACAGGGGCTTGTCACAAAGGTGCAGTTTGGGCTGAGAGTATGGGCACCCCAGATCAAAGCAAGAGGTCTGGGAAATGGGGTAGATGCAGGAGCCTGGAGAGAAGCCCCAGGCCTGGGGCAAAGTGGTTGGCGCTTTCTCCAGGGTGCTGGGGTCTGGGGTGCTCTGGGAGGACCCTGTGGAGGGCCATGGGGTCTCTAGCACTATTCGGACACACCCTCCCATGGTTCGGTGTTCTGGACCAAGGAGGGGAAAATGATAAGAATGACAATAGTGGGGAGAAGTTGTGCCAAGTTTCATCCCAACACCAAAACGTGGTTCTAAACAAGGGTCAGAAGATGTTTTTCCCCTGTTTTAATCCTAGAAAGCTGTACTAGACTGTGATTCAGTCTCTTTTTCTATCAGTGTGGGATTCTGATTCTCATTAGTAGTTGAATTCATTTTTGGCATCTTTATTCTTATGATTACTAGGGATTTTCAGTTGCTTAAACCCTACTTGGCATTTACTAATGGGCACTAATGCCAAACTTTTATCACTAAGCTCATGGGTTTTTCAAAGAAATGGTGATGCCAAGAGAGTCTTTGCAAGATACTACCTGTAATCCTTGTGCAGGGTGTTTGATGTATTGTGGTGTTCTTTGTTTCTAATTCCCTATGTAGCAATCTAAGTAAAGGGGTTAGCAAACTTTTTCTGTTAAAAGCCACATAGTAAATATTTCAGGCCTTGTGGGCAACATTCGATTCTGCATCATAATGAGAAGCAGTCATAGATAATAAAACAAATAGGTGTGACTGAGTTCCAGTAAAACTTCATTCACAGAACAGGCAGCAATCAGATTGGATATGTGGGCCATAGTTGCCAACTTATGATATAAAAAGGGAAAACTAAATTTCATAGTCACCATGAGTATTTTTATTTTTTTTTTGAGACAGAGTCTTGATCTGTTGTCCAGGCTGGAGGGCAATGGCGTGATTATAGCTCACTGTAACCTTGAACTCCTGGGCTTAAATGATCCTCCCACCTCAGCCTCCCCAGGAGCTGGGACTACAGATGCAGGCCACCAGGCAAGGCTAATTTTTTTTTTTTTCATTTTTTTTTTTTTTTTTTTTTGAGACAGAGTCTCACTTTGTTGCCTAGGCTAGAGTGAGTGCCGTGGCGTCAGCCTAGCTCACAGCAACCTCCAACTCCTGGCTCCAGCAATCCTTCTGCTTCAGCCTCCCAAGTAGCTGGGACTACAGGCATGCGCCACCATGCCCGGCTAATTTTTTCTATATATACTAGTTGGCCAATTAATTTCTATTTATAGCAGAGACGGGGGTCTCGCTCTTGCTCAGGCTGGTTTCGAACTCCTGACCTCGAGCAATCCACCCGCCTCGGCCTTCCAGAGAGCTAGGATTACAGGCGTGAGCCACGGAGCCCGGCCTTTTTTTTTTTTTTTTTTTTTGTAGAGATGGGTTCTTGCTATGTTGCCCAGGCTGGTCTCAAACTCCTGGGCTCTTTGGCCTCCCAAAGTGCTGGGATTACAGGCATGAGCCACCATGCCTGGCCTCCATGAGCATTTTTTCCCTTTTAATTGTTGTTTCCTGAAGGATGGAGGAAAGGAGGAACCATTTTGCCTGCATAGAGCCACTGCCATTTCACTTGTATCTGATTACATTTATAATTTTGGAAGCTAATAGCCAGAATCTAAACTTCCTCCCTGCTTTTAAAATATAGGAATGGCTGGAATGTCCTATTCCAGGTCTCCCTGAAAGAGAGGGACCCCATTAGCAACTTTCCCCTCCAATCTAGTGAAGTTCTTTGCACACGGCAGGCCTCTGGTAAGAGCTCAGTTACTTCTGGATGGCTTATACTCTTGTTTACCTCATTGGTAACAATGGCCAGTGAAAAAGCTTTTGTAATTTTACTTTTTTCAGGTGGCTTTATACACATAAAGGGTTCATAGGTCTAAAGACAAGGCAAATATCATTTCTTCTAAAACCTGAAAAAAAACCCACCAAAATAAAACTTGAATGAAAAACTACTAGAAGATAATTATTTCAGCCAACGTCAAGTCCAGAGGTTAAATATGTTTGCCTCCCTTATCTAGGGAATGAAGATGTTCAGACTAATGGGCAGAACTTGATCAACTCTAAATTCTCTTAAGCAATGAGCAAATTCACCACCACCCGTTACTGGTTGAATTTGTGGCCCCCAAAAAGATATGTTGAAATCCTAACCCTTGAAACCTGTAAATGTTACCTTATTTGGAAATAGAATCTTTACAGGTGAAATCAAGTTAATCTGAGATCGCTGGTTTGGGTCCTAATCCAATAGGACTGGTTTTCTCATAAGAAGAGGGAAATTTGGATGCAGATACACACAC